GTCCCTCCCCACAGTTGTAGGTTGCCTGTGCAGAAGGAACTACAAAATAGACCCAATGCTCATCTGCTCTGGAAACTCAAGCTAAAAGCTGTTGGAATATACACCAGCTATACTTAGCTGTAGCTGTATAAAGGGAGCAGATAAGAAGCGAGAGAGCCCCTCACAAGACAGGCGTGTGTGGGAAGAAGCACTGATACAGATGGCAAAATGCTCACCCTGGCTGGGAAGACCTCCAACTTGGAGCCTGATGATTTAAGAGGATATAAAAGACAGTTAAATGAATCACCCCAGAAAGATCATTCTTCACTATACAAAAGTGGATGGTAAATATGGAAAAAAACCACGTTTGTAACTCATTACATCAACTACAGGGTTTTTTAACTGGTTCTTTTTACAGGTGTTATATTTCAAGAAAATAAAACAGAAATTAGATCCAGCTTCAGGAGGGAAAAAAAAAATGCAAGTTCCTTACTAGGCAAGGTGAAAAGCTTATATTGCAGTATGACCAGCTGCTGAAACAGCTAAAACATGTTCTGTTCTCATCTTTCCCCAAGACCCAAACCCAACAGCTCTGTGCAACAGATGAGAAACTGGGAAGGGTGCAGACAAACCACCACATCCCACCAGCTTCCAAGCAGCCACCTGAGAACACAAGGCCGAACCTTAGACTCGACCTGAAGCTGTAGGATGTTTTACCTCCACATCCCAGAATTTGTAAGCCAACTTTATTCACTGCCTACCAGACTGAGGCAGTTTCGCAGAAAGTCCAGCGTCAGACGTAAGAGTCCCTGAACTATAACTGGCAATAAGTCTGCTGCAGAGCATTTAACTTTAATAACCATGATAATCCCTTTCTAAGGTAACAGGATGACCTAAATCACTCCCTCTAACACTTGGCAGTTAGGCTAGCTGCAGCAGAGCCCGATCCGCCCGGCAGCCACGCACCTCAGCTCATTTCAGAACCAAAAGCAGCATTTTCACACACATGCCCACCCTGCAGCGCAAGGGAGCACGAGGAGAACTGCACGTGCAGTTTTAAGGCAGCGGAGAAGCAAGAGTGGATTCCACCTGTAAATTAGAGATATTAGGAGATCAGAAAACGTCTCTTTTTCTAAAGCACACGCATAATCTGGTGTTGTAGCAAACAGGATGTGGTAAAAGAAGAAAAGTAGCTAAAGGTGGTTACGCACTCCGCTTCGAGACACACTGTACTTCCCCATGAAGCTTCTGCTGTGGAGGAAGCAGCTTCTGCAGGAACTGCCGGCTGCTGGGCCGTTAGGCACTGCCAGAGCATTTTTCTGGGTGGCTCTATTATCCTCCTGTCCTCTGACTCATTAGGCCATTCTTAGAGTTCAGGATCATTCTGGAGCATCACCTCTCCTGCAAACAGTCGTGTTGCTTCAAGAGATGAGAGCGACCTATCTGCCTTCATGAAGAAAAAGATATAAATAGAGGACAGGCACTTGTTTATGCAAATCTTATGAAGCCTCCAGACCATTCTCATCCCCAGAAGGGTTGCTGCCACGCCGCTCGCTGACGGAGTTTCCTGCTCTTACTCTGGTTCTAAAGGTTTTGGTTTCCAAGCCCAACCTGCCCGTGCGATTCCCTGCGGTTGCACACCTGGGAGAGGTGGCAGGGAGGGAATCTGGGCCAATCTTTTACAGTGGGCCATGGAAAGCACTAATCCTAAAACGATTTAAGAGCTCATTAAGGATAAACTCTTTTAGCTGATAAGACCAGCACTGTAATTAGACATGCTCATAGGAAAACATCCATCTGGAACGACTCCATATAGGACATCAGAAAGACTTGTATCAGACAACTGATCAATCCCTGGTTTTCCCTTGAAAGGAGGATATTGAAAAACAGAAAAAAAGACCTGGAACTGTAAGAAAGAACTGTGGTTTGGAAAAAAGAAGCTTAGCAGTTCTCACCTACATCACTTGCCAAAGGAAAAAATAGGTAGCTTGATGAAGTTTTACAATTAGCACATAGAGATAAAGCACTGTATACTAGACGGCTCTGAAACTGAGAAAATAAAGGCACGAGAGCAGCCAGCAGCAAGGGGATGAACCAGCAGAATTACAGCTCAGGAACAGAGACTCGTTCGACTCGCGTTGACTGAAACCCCCTGAGCAGGAGCTGCCTCCCAGATCTGCACACCCAGGTCCCGCCCGGGCGGCGGTCGCTCCACACCCCCGCCATGCAAAGCCGTAACCACAGGAGTAAAAAGGTGATTAGACTTTTAATTACCTCACCATATTTATTTTCACAGCCTTCTGCATAACGCTTGCCTAAAATTGAAGGTACTTTACCACAAGCGATTATGCTAATGTCTGGAAACAGAACTAATTTAATGGCAAAGAACAAGCTAGAAAACGCAGTAAAATTTAAATGAGCAACCACAGTGAGGAAATACAATATTTTCCAGTGCAATGCAAAGTCTTCTGTTAAAAACAGTCATGTTTTATCTTTTTTTTTTTTTTTCTTCCATTCTAAATCCTTCTTCAGAAGAAAACAGCTTCAGAAGTGACTGAAACTCCAGCGAAGTGGTCAGAGAGGCCCTTCTCATTCTCAGGTACCCGAGGGCAAGCACTGCTACGATTGTACCACGGGGAGAGGGAGAGAAAACCTCTCTGCACCGCTGTGAATGATGCATCTCCAAACCTGGGCGGGAAACTAATCATGTTTATGAAACTCTGGGCTCTAAAACTCTAGGTTTGATGGCTACCAACATGGGGAAAAAAAAGACAGACCTAAACCTTCCAAGGCTGCAGTTACCCAACTGTAATTGCTGTAGCTGATCAATAGCTGCAACACTGTTCTGTGGAACCAGCTATTAATGAAAACTATTCAATTACATAAATAGAAACATCCATTACATACAAGCTGTTCTGTTTGACTATTTTTTTTTCTAACGGATGGGGGACAAAGA